ATTTTAAATAAATAAATAAATAAAAAATGTGGCTCTCCAAAGAAATTCCAATCGTTGTGCTGTTGATATCTGGCTCTGTGGACTGATGAGTTTGCCGACCACTGCCTTAGCCTCACAGGCCACCAATCTTTATTCATCTTTATGGGCCCCACATTGCATGTAGGAATCACTGAACAAAAGTGGGTTGAGCCCTGGATGCTTTTGCTCAGTGGTTAGAGCATCAGCTCACAGACTAAAGGGTCTTGTGTTCAATTCCCAGCCAAGGGCATGTACCTCGGTTGCAGGCTCAATCCCTGGTCCTGGTTGGGGCGTGTGAGGGAATTAACCTGTCTATGTGTTAATGTTTATCCCCCCGCTCCTCTCTCCCTTCCACTCTTCCTTTAAATCTCTGAAGATCAGCCGAAACCGGTTTGGCTCAGTGGATAGAGCGTCGGCTTGCGGACTGAAAGGTCCCGGGTTCGATTCCGGTCAAGGGCATGTATTATATCTTGGTTGTGGGCACATCCCTATAGAGGGTGTGCAGGAGCCAGCTCATCGATGTTTCTGACTATCTGTCCCTCTCTCTTCCTCTCTGTGAAAAATCAATAAAATATACGTTTTTGGTTTTTTTTTTGTTTTTTTTTTTTAAACAATCTCTGAAGATCAATGGGGAAAAAAATATCCTCGGGTGAGGATTTTTTTTTTAAAAAGTTGGTTGAATTAAATTTAATCTCAACATTTTATCAATTTCTGGTAAAATTCCTAAACTTGCCAGAGCCATCCCAGGCCAAATTTGTTTTCTCTGATGCAGGCCCCAGAGTCTAAAGTCACTTGATAAGTAACTTTGAGTCCTCTTTTCACCATCTAGTCTGCCCAAAGCCCCTTCCTCCGAGGCCTCTCTCTGCCGCCCTGTGGCCGTGCCGGCCCGGGTGCTGGGGGACTTGGGGAGCCCCGAGCCGGGGCCGAGCCGGGGCAGTCATTGCCTCTCACGTGTGAAGCAGCGTAGCACGCTGGGCCCTGGTGGGAATCAGAACTGGTTTCACAGGAGTGGCCGTGAGTTGATAACTGTAGCTGGGCAAAGGGTACCTGTGGGTTTATGGTGCTGTTCTCCTCATGTGTGTTTGAAGCTTTCCAGAATGAAAAATGAAATAAGTGTTGAGCTTGGTTTTGTCCCGGTCTCATGTCCCTTCTCTCACTCCCCCGTCTTTTTTTGCCATCGAAGTTGTGTGTTGTGAGGCTAGCCTGGTAGGAGCATGAGACTCCACCGTCACTGCGGAAGCATCTCCATGGAAAGAGGATGCTCTGTCTGTTGGGAGGTGAGGATTCTTGGCCCAACTCTGATACGGCCCAGCTCTGTGTCTTCCAGCAAGTCACAGAAGAGATGAGTCTTCTCGTCTGCTCGTTGCCCTGCTTCTCGGGGATATGGAGAGGGTAAGGAGAGAAAGATCACCGGTGGCAGTGCTTTGAGAAGTGAAGGGCCATACTCTAAATGTACATCTGCTCATCCTTGTGCGTCTTCATGGGGAAGTACAAGAGCAAGGTGACTTCGCAGGCGGGATCCAACTCACCGGTATCTCCCCTTAGCATCTCCGGTTTTATAGCTGCTGCTCGGACCCCCTGCTTCAGTGGAAAGAGCCTCCAGGCCTTGTGCTTGTCAGCAGGCATCTTGTTCCAGATGTGTTTTGAAATTGCTTAGCTCTCCTCTCATGTGGAGACAAGCCTGGCACAGTGCCAGCCCCCTGGCCAGGATCCTCCCCCTCCATCCCCCCCCCTTCCCCCCGCAAGGCAGGGAGAGGATTAGCAGGCCCCTGACTGGTTCACAACCATGATGTCAGGAAGATGCTGGCTTCGGGAAAGCACTCCCTTCGGTCTAGGTGTGATCTCTGATGTCGGGGCTAGGCAGAGGCCAAGGATGTGTTTATTTTCTTTCCAGAGGCCCCAGAGATGGTGATCATTTGGGTTTCTACTCTCTGTGGAATCAGAGCCTCAGCTTTGACAATTAATAAGAGGCAATTAAAATCCACCAACCTCTTTCAAACACCACAAAACAATTAAGTTTCCCTGCCCCTTGGTTTACTTGGGTGCTGATTTCTTTAGCCCTGGGCTAGGTGTAAGACGTTCAGATCCCAGTTTCAGATCTATGACTTTTTTTTTTTTTTTTTTTTTTTTTTTTAATCTAAGGAAAAGCAAAAACTCCCTTCAAGGGCAAAGCAAAGCAAGTGCAACGCCTCGGAGCCTTCTCTGGAGGCCCCACAAGTTCTGTTTTGTCTTTGCGGCAGCGGTGATCTTCGCTCAGAAGGTCATGTTTTGTTTCTGTCTTTTGTCTTCCTGCCCGTTCCTGTTGGTCCGGTCCTTTGAGGTGGGGATTGCTGGGAGGTCACAATGTCGGGATTGTGTGGGGATGACAGTTCCGGCAGCAGCGCGGGGCTGAGATCATACGTCCAGTGTTCCGAGCAGCCCAGAACCAAAAGCCTTTGGACACCAGACCTGTCAGTGGCTTCATTGTTGGACCTTTCTCTACGGATCTATTGGCCCTGTTTTTGAAGTGAGTCGTCGGGACCCGTGGTAAATGCCCGGGCTTAGGGAGTTTATGGTGTCGGAATAGTTGAGACCATGAACTGGAAAATCTGGAATATAGGCTCTGCTTAGCGCCAACGATCCTGAAAGATCTTATAAGATATTTCTTTCATCCTTAGTAGTCCACCCCACTCTTGGTGAAATCAGAATCTGTCCAGTTCCCGGGGGGTACAGAGCACACGGGGTGAAAAACAGGGGCTTTGGAATTAGGGTCAGCTGTGGACGCTGTGGAAGCCAGCCAGCCTCTCAGTTCCTCAGGTGGGACCGTGGACTGGTGCCCACCCCTAACACATGGGCTGTGAGCGCTGGAGAGCACACGAGCCTGGCATACAGCAAGGACTCAATAAATGATTGCTATTTGTGGTATGGAATGGGAGAAAAATACAAAAGTCACGTGTGAGGTGAGAATCGGTATTGGTGGTGTCCACTGAGGACAGGCTCTCCGGGGCACCAGGGTAAGCGCAGTATTTGGTGACCGTACAGGAGGTGGCTGGGTTTCCTGAGGCCATGTGGCTCCTGTAGAAAGGGAAGGGGGCGAGGGGTTAACAAAATAGTAAATTTGCATTACGGAAAATTCCAAGCATGTATTCAAGTAGAGAGACCAGTATAAAGAACCCTCATAGACCCGTCACTCAGCTTCAAAAACGAACATTTGATGCCCCTGTCTAGTGTGGCTCAGTGGGTTGAGCGCAGTTCTGTGCACTGAGAGGTCACTGGTTTGATTCACAGTCAGGGCTGCAGGCTCAATCCCCAATGGAGGGCATGCAAGAGGCAGATAATTGATGTCTCTCTCTCTCTCTCTCTCTCTCCCTCTCCACCTCCCTCTCCCTCTCCCCTCCCTCTCTACCTTTCCCCTCTCTCTAAAATGAAAAACATTTTTTTTAAATTAACATTTTGATAAATCTTATTTCATGTATCTCCCTTCCCACCACTCTTCACCCCCTCCATGAATGGTCTAAAGCAAATTACAGACATTATCGTTGTAACTATAAACCATGTATTTCTAAACAGATGACATTTTAAAAATGCCAACCTTAAAAAATGAACTGTCATTCTTTAAAATCACCTAATACTTGCGTTATCGTATGTCATGGTTTGGGACAGGCCAAATTTACGCTGGTTGCCAAACATAACTATTAGTAGCTTTAGAAGGGTTTTTGGTGTCTTTTTTAGTCCCGCAGTGGCTCTGTCTTCCAGCCTTTCTCTCCTTTGTGCTCACCTGTGCCTGCATCTCCTCTCTCGTGTGCACATATACATCCTTCATTTTCTCATTCCAACTTAGTTTATCTTCTCTGATAGATGTTCAGGGGCCCTAGCTGGTTTGGCTCAGTGGATAGAGCATCGGCCTGCGGACTGAAGGGTCCTGGGTTCGATTCCAGTCAAGGGCATGTGCCTTGGTTGTAGACACATTCCCATTGGCAGGTGTGCAGGAGGCAGCTTATCAATGTTTCTCTCCCATCAATGTTTCTGACTCTCTATCCCTCTCCCTTCCTCTCTGTAAAAAATCAATAAAAATATATTTATTTAAAAAAAGAAAAAGATGTTCAGGGGACCTCTGGGTAAATTCCCCTGACTGGAGAAGTTATAGGTGTCATCTACTTGATTTGTTCTGAATTTGTGTAAAAGGTTTTCCAAAGATTTGTGGCTTTCTCCAGCAGCTGCAACAAAAATATCTACCATTTTCTGGTCTTCATTTCATAACTTAAAAGAAAGAATGGAAATCTGTTCCAGAGCAGAACATTCCATGACAACAACTGACAAAATCCCAGCCAAATAGAACGGTTAAGGGAATTCAAAGCATTACCTTTTCTTTCCATGTGTCCCCATCTGAAATCTACATAACTATGGTAGAACCAGGACTAACCTAAAGAACAGAGTTTTGCCTTCAGTTAGCTGATTGAGCTCAACACCCCCCTCATACACCTCCACATTCGGCCCCATTTCCATGCTCCTGTTTCTCTGAATACCGATTAGCTATTGTGACTGCATTGTAATTTTGCAGTTAGACTTTCTTGAAAACTGCAAATATGAGAGACCCCTGTTGTTTATCTTTGCATCTCCAGTGCTTAGAACATGTCTGGCACATACATGCTTGTTGAATGGCTAAAATCTTGTTACATAGAATTATTGAATGAAAAATGAACGAGCCCCACATTTCGCTTTTGCAAAAAAGGATACTAGGTTCTTGTTTTGGTTTCTTGGGCTTTGTGATCCCCGAAGTTGCTCAGTTGACTTATGGTAAGATGGATGCACTGAGCTAACGATGGGGCCATGGGACAGAGGGACAGGGGCTAACTTACCTCCCCAGCGCTGTTTTCTCCGTCCTCCTCTGCTCCCCTCTCCTCCTTTCCCCACCTAACCCTTCCTCCCACAGTTATTTGTCGTTTCCTTTCTCTGTGTGCTGGTTCTCAGGGGTCCCTGAATATCCAGAAGTTGATTCCATCATGGCTGAGCCCAAGGTAGAGACCCGGACCAGCATGGACTGGCAGAAACGCTACCTGGCGCTGGAAACCCAGCTTGTGCGGTTCCGCCTGCAAGCCAGCAAGATACGGGAGCTGCTTTCTGACAAGGTGGGTTCTGGAGGCCGGAGAGCTGCCTGCCCTCACCGCGGAGGTCCGAGTCAGAGGGGCCAGTGTCAGAGGGCGAGAGTTGGGGAGGCTGATCTTCCTTTTAGCGAGGGCGGGGGGGTATTTTATTTATCTATTTTTAATTGAAATATATTTGACATAACATTGTGTAATTTAAGGTGTTCGGCATGTTAGTTTGACACATTTATATATTGTAATATGACTGCCATCATGGTGCTGATTAGAAGCTCTATCACATTATACAACTGTCATTTCTTTTCAGTGGTTGGAATAATTAAGTTCTAGTCTCGGAGCAAGTTTGATGATTATAATGCAGCTAGAGGCCCAGTGCACAAAATTCATGCACTGGTAGGGACCCTAGCGACTGCCGGCTGCCAGCTGGGTACTCCCTCCCCACCCCCTTCCCCCGTTTGCCTGCTGCCACTTGCCTGCCAGGGCCTCCCTCACTTCCCCTGGCCAGTCCCGCCCCCCAGTTGAACTCCTGGTAGATGGGACAATTTGCATACTGTGCTTTTATTATATAGGATAGGATACTGTGGTTTGCATTCACTATTCTGTGCATTTGATCCTTAGGGCTTACTTACTATTCATTGCAGGAAGGTGAGCTTTGAATAAGGTGTTTTTCACACATGCAAAATGAAACCACCCAAGGTAGTTGTTGATTTTTTTTTTTTTAAGACCAAAATCAAAGCAGTGTTGTAATCTATCACTTGGCATTCTTCCCTGGTCTGCTTCTTCGCAGGGCACACCAATGAAGTGACACAAATCTTGGTTCTCTGTCACCCTGAGTCACATGTGGCTGCAGTGAAGGTCCTAATATTCTCTTCACATCTCTTCAGTGGTGGGGAAGGCGAGATTTTAGGAGAGAAGACTGGAAACCTCCATCCTGCTGCTCACCCTCTACTGAGCATAGGAGCCGAGGAAGGCAGCTTGCTTTCCTAGTGACAAGGACACAGGCTTTGGAGCCAGACTTACCTGGCTCGGCCACTTACTGGCCCTGTGACCCTGAGCAAGTCCCTTCACCTCTAAGGCAGGGGCACAAATGTCTGCCTGTTGGAGTTATTTTGAGAGTTTTACCAGATCACATATACAAAGGTTCTGGCATAGAATAGGTTTAAATGGGTACAATTATTTATCTTTACAGACTTGGGTGGGCTGGTCTGGGAAAGGGACCACCATTTATAATGTTTCTATGGGAAGATATATTGTAAATGGCTGAGGTTTTGTTTTTTTGTTTGTTTGTTTGTTTTTGTTGTTCTTATTGACTTTAGAGAGAGAGGGAGGGAAAAGGAGAGAGAGATAGAAACATCTATGAGAGATAATTATGTATTGACTGCCTCTGGCATGCCCCTTACTGGGGAACAAGCTGGCAACCCATGCATGTGTGGGAATCGAACCGGGGACCTCTAGGTACATGGGCCAGCACTCAGCCAACTGAGTCACACTGGCCGGGCTAAATGGCTGATTCTTTGGAGCATAACCCATCTAGAGAATAGACTCCTGCACTTAAATATATATAAAGTCTTAATTGAATCAACCATTCTCTCTATAGTTTTGTTGATAGTATCCATCTGCTAAGCAAACCCTTCTTCCATAGCATAGAAGTAAAATTCACCCCGCCCTTCTCCAAGGAATGTCAAAGTCTCGATGAGTAAGCGACCTGTGTTCGGAATAGGCCCGTGACCTGGAGTCCGGGAAGATAAGTTTCTGGCGTTACCTCGACCTTTTCATTGCTGCAGGGAGTGGCCCTGGACTAGCCAGGACTAGAACTCATGAACCTTGGGCCTGTTGGCATTGCCATCTCGTTCGGCTTTGCAGAACAGGTTGGCAGGGTGCCTATGGGGATGGTTCAGGCGCTGCAAACATAAAGGGTAGAATCCGACACCGCAGGGAACAGGAAGCAGGCCCTGGACAGGTGGTTCTCTGGACCACCTGTGCCAGAAACCTGGCGTGCCTGTGAGGCAGATGCATTCCTGGGCCCCACCCCAACCCTCCTGACCCAGGTCTCCTTGTTCGTTTGCATCTTTTAACAAGCTTCCCGAAACTGGTTTCAACACTGCAAAGCTAGAAAACCTTGCCTTAGGTTACGGTTATTGGGAAAGGTGTGTGAGGGAAGGCAAGGATCGGCGGGGACCAGCCAGCAGGTCTAAGCACATCTCAGAGGGAAGAGATCTCCTTTTGGTTATATGGACAACAAATAACCTAAAGAGTGGCCCTTATGAGACACCTGGGCACACTGCATTAAACGTTTAAAATACCCTTCTCAGTTTGAAGTCGCACACTGAAAAAGGGGAAACTCTCAACGGGCAAAATAAAGAGGAAAAACCCACGTGGGACTCCAACTCTGGCAGCTGAGTGGGATGGGGTGTGTGACTGGCCCCCCTGAGTCACGAAAGGCTTGAGGCTTGAGTCTTGGCGTCTGTGGAGATAGCGGTGCGGTCTGGCCATGTGGGAGCTGGGCCTGACACCGAACCTTCCCTGTGAAGTCAGGCCTGTTAAAGGGCTTTACCCTAAGGAAAAGGTGGCAAAGGAAACATCCCCCAGCCCACGGAGATGGGAGATGGTGGGACAGTGTCTCATACGTAGCCACAGCTCTGGGCAAAAAAAAAAAAAAAAAAAAGGCCTTGAAAACCTGATGATACTGGTTTAACATTAGAATGTATACTATCTGTGTGACTTAGGAAGCCTAAGACCTGGGCTATAGGTACCCCTGAGAGACCTTGTAGGAACAGACACAGAATCCCCATTGGGGCAGGGGAGCCTCAGAGAAGATGAATATATGATCCAAAATGACTAAATATGGAGAGACTAATGTACAGTGAGTCAGAGTCCACATATACAATGAACAACTGGACTAGGCCCCACCCCCAAGAACTAATAATAATAGAACTGTTGGCAAGATACTGTAAATAAATGAGTTCAAAATATTGAAGACATAATGAAGTAATTGAAAACATGAGACAAGAATAAGACACTATCCAAAAAGAGCAGGTAGACTTTAAAAAGAATCCAGTAGAACTGCTAGAAGTGAAAACATTTTTCATGGAAATTAAATGTTCAGTAGGTAGCCCTTACTGGGTATCTCATTGGTTCGAGGGTCGCCCTGATACACCAAATTTGTGGGTTCGATCCCTGGTCGGGTACATAAAGGAATCAACCAATGAGAGTGGGTGGATAAGTGGAGCAGCAGATTGATGTTTCTCTCTCTCTCTACCTCCTTTCCTCTCTCTCTCAAATTGAGGGAAAGAGTTTTAAATAAATAAATAAATAAATAAATAAATAAATAAATAAATGTTCAGTGGATAGATAAACACCAGATTAGACACTACTGAGGACAGACTTAATGGAAATACGGACCTGAGGAAATTGTGCGGCATGTCGCACAGAGAGGTAAAGAAGGAGAGGCTGAGACATGGACGCTGGAATGACAGGATCTTATATAAGATTTCAGAAGTGGAAAAGAAAGTGAAGGAGAGCCAATACTTAAAGAAATAATGGCTTAAAAATTTCCAAACTTGATTCAGGAAGCAGAATGAGGGTAAGTGAGATAATTGTTTTTAAAGCCATGCCTACTGTATTAGCTATCGTAGTTTGCTGTAAGAACGAACCCAAAAGAGCAATGGCTTAAGCCAAACAGATGCTTATTTCCTTCTCATGTAGTACCTCAGACAGAAGCAGTCTAGTTCCACGGTGGTACCTGCTGCATGTTTGAAGGTGGTTTATCTGGTGTCCACCAGCCCTTTCCTTTTAAGTGCATGACCTGGAGGTTGCATTCATCCTTCCTTCATATCCCATTGGTAAAAACTCGGTTACCCAGCCGCAGGGAGCTTGGACAGTATAGAGTTTTTCTGGCTAATCATGCGCTCTGCTAAGTTGGAAGTTCTATTTATATGAGAGAAAAGAGAACAGACAGGAAGCAGAGCTGGGGGACAATTAGCAGTCTGTAAGTCTAGAATTTGAGTCTAGAATAATAGTAATAACAAATGGATTATATAATTTTCAAATCAGCTGAGCAGGGAAATGGAATAAAGGAAGTCTATTAAATCTAGGCAGGGAGAGGGAAAAAAGTTCAGAAAAAAGAGGAGTAAATGACACAAAATGGAAAAGTAGAAATAAATTCAGATATATTGGTCACAAGGAGACATATACAAGAATGAGTATTGCATCACTGATGTATGAAAAATTGAAAATATTATAAATGTCTACCAAAAGGGATGGTTAAATATATTGAGTGCATTTGTACAATGGGATATAATACTGCAGTTCAGAATAAATCAAGTGAGCTACATGTGTAAGGTCAATAAATCTCAAAAACCAGCATTGAACAAAAAGGGTCCAAAGAAACCCTAGTTCTCTAGTTGGTTTGGCTCAGTGGATAGAGTGTTGGCTGCAGACTGAAAGGTCCCGGGTTTGATTCCTGTCAAGGGCACATGCCCAGGTTTTGGGTTCAATCCTCAGTAGGGGATGTGCAGGAGGCAGCCAATCAATGATTCTCCCTCATCATTGATGTTTCTATCTCTCTCTCTCCCTCTCCCTCTCTGAAATCAATAAAAATATATTTTTTAAAAGTCCAAAGGATATAGATATGTGTGTGTGTGTATATAATATATATACATGTGTGTATATTATATATATATATGTGTGTGTGTGTGTGTGTGTGTGTGTGTGTGTGTGTGTATATATACATATACATACATACTAGAGGCCTGTGCATGAAAGTTGTGCATGGGTAGGGTTCCTAGGCCTAGCCGGCAATCAGGGCCAATAGGAGCCTTCTGGCTGCCCTAGGGCCTTCCTTTGTTCCACGACACTCCCTGGTGGTCAGTGCACATCATAGCAAATGGTTGAATTCCCAGTTGGTCAAACTCCCGAGGGGCCAATTTGCATATTAGTCTTTTATTATATAGGATATACATATAAAATGTATATGTTTTAAAATATGCAGAATGGCAGTGTCTGTTGTTCAGGGGTATAGATGAACG